GCACAAATCTTCCTTCTCATTGGACTAAGAGACATTAGTAGTATAACTAACTTGCATTTTTTCCCTTCCTTCCTTCCTTCCTTCCTTCCTTCCTTCCTTTTTCCCCTCCCTCCTTCTCTCCTTTTTTCCTTCCTTTTCTCCTTTCTTCCTTCTTCCCCTCCTTCCTTCCTTCCTTTCCTCATTCCACAATATCAGTTTCTTCCTTTTTCTTTTTTAAAAATGCCCTTCCATTTCACAACATCTGTTGTACACTGTAGATCTTATTCACTCTTTTGGGTTCTCAGGGATGTTTACATGTGACAAATCATGCTGTTATAAACATAGGTTTACATGTATCACTGTGGTATGATGTTTTAATTCTTTTGATATTGTGGAATGATGTTTTAATTCTTCTGGTTTCCAGAAGGGGAATCGCTGGGTCAAATGGGACCTTTAATCCTTGCTTTTTGAGAAATCGCCATACTGATTTCCATATTGGTTGTACAAGTCTGCACTCCCACCAACAGAGGAGAAGGGTTCCTTTGTTTCAATAGCCCCACCAGCATTTGTTATTGGTTGATTTCTTGAAACCATTCTTTTGGGAGTGAGATGGAATCTCAGCATTGTTTTAATTTACATCTCTCTAAAGACGAATGATGTTGAACATTTTTTGTATATTTATTTGCCATTTATACCTCCTCATCTGAGAAGTGTATATTCATCTCAGATGCCCATTTTTGGTTTGGGCCTTTGAATTTGGGTGTCTGGTTTTTGTTTTTTTTTCAATTTTTTGTATGTTCTTAGGTTCTCTGTATAAGTACTTTGAGGGACAAATGTCTAAATTTTTTCCCACTCTGCAAGTGGTCTTTTCACTCTGTTGATGATTTCTTTTGATATGCAAGAGCTTTTTAATAAGACGAGATTCTAGATTTTGATTCTTTAAAGTATTTCTTGTGCAGTTTGGGTTTTATTCATGAAGTCTCTGTCTATACCTATGTCTTTAGGACTTCTGCCTATTTTCTCTTTCAATAGATTTAGTGTTTCTATTTTAACATTTAGATCTTTGATCCATTTTTTTGCTTTAGTTTAGTCATTGTGATAGATATGGGTCTAATTTTAGTCTGCAGCATATAGAGAGCTGGTTTTTCTATCATCATTTATCAAAGAGGCTATCTTTTTTTTCCCAATGAACATATTTATCCCCTTTGTCATAAATAAGGTGGCTGAGTGTGTTTGTCGTTGTGTCTGCATCTTCCAATCTGTTCAACTGATCCTTAGGTCTCTTTTTTTAATTCATTTATTTTTTTGCCAGTACCATGTTGACTTTCTTTAGTCTTTATGTATTTAGTACAGGATCTACAGGATCTCACTACACAGCTTAGACTAGTATTGATCCGTCTGTTTTCAGCCTCCCAAGTGCTGGGATTACAGGCATGTGCCACCGCACCCAGTCTCAATCGCCATCTCAGCGTGCCCCTGGGAGTGGGGCCAGCACAGCATGTGGAGCCAGGGATCAAACTTCAGTCCCTGCATCTCCCAAAGTGGGTACTTCAATCTGCTGAGCTATCTGGCTGGCCCTAACCATGTTGACTTTAGCACAAAGCTTTGTAGTATAATTTCAAGCCATAGATTTTGATGCCTTTTGCCTTGCCTTTGTTGCCCAGAATTGCTTTTGCCATTCTATTTTTTTTCTGTTTCCAAATATATCATATAATATTTTCTGTAGTTCTAGTGAGGTGTGCTAATTGTGTTTTGATTAGGATTGCATGAAATCAATGTAACAATTTTGGGAGTATGGCCATTTTCACTATGTTGGTTCTTCCTATGCACAAGCAAGGGATATCTTTCCCTTTTCTGATACCCTCTTTGATTTCCTTTTTCATAGGGTTGTAGCTTTCAATATATAATTATTTTACTTACTTTGATAGATTGATTTCTAGGCATTTCATTTTTTATGCTATTGTGAAGGGCATTGTAGCATTATGTGTACTAGTCATCAAGGAAGAAATGGACAAAGAAAATGTGTTGCATACACATTTTAAGTCTAGTTAGCCTGTCATTTGTCACAAGGTGGATGAGACTAGAATACCTGGTAAGTGGCATAAGCCAGACTAGCAAAACAAGCATCAGACTACTCATCACTTCTTAGCATGTGGAATCTAAACAAGTTGAATGCAGAAGCAAGAAGTAAAATGGTTATTATCTGGAGTAAGGTTGAGTCCCTGAGGGGAATAGGAAGGTATTAGCTGCAGTGTATATAGTCTTGGTTAGACAGGGGGAATGAATTTAGACAGGGAAGTCTACTGTACAGCACAGTAATGGCAGTTAGTTAATAGTAATGTACTATATTCTTTTTTAAAAAATATATTTGATATAAGGTCTCAATACGCATCTTGGATTTATAGTCATATTCCTGTTTTCAGCCTCTGCAGTGCTGGGATTATAGGTGTGCACCACCATGCTCAGACTGGGTCGCCAGCTCAGCATGTAGGACTGGGAATCAAACCCTTGTCCCTGTGCTTGCCAAAGCACATGCTTAGTCCACTGAACTACCTTGCTGGCCCAATATACTATATTGTTAAACATTGGTAAGAGAGACCTGGAGAGATAGCTCAGTGGTCTAAGCACCTGCCTGGCAAGCGCAAGGACCTGCGTTCAGTCCCTGGTACCACATGCCATGCTGGCAGCACTGTGCAGGCCCTGAAACTGGGCATGGTGGTACACAACTGTAATCTCAGCATGGAGGAGGCTGAGACAGGAGGATCACTATGAGTCTAAACTGTGTAGCAAGACCCCACATTAAAAAAACCCCTCAAACTCTCAAAACACTGGTAAGAGAGTAAATTTTAAATGTTTTCCCCAAAAGATTACTATATGAGATTATCAATATGCTAATGAATGATTTAATTGTGCCATAATGTATACATATGTCAAAATATCACATTGTATACCATAACTAGATAGTTTTTCCAATTAGTGAGGACTTAAATTATTATTA